GGGGGGGGGGGACAAAAAATAAGCTAATCATATCAACCCGTCATGTGGTACTTGAACTTAGCATGTGTCTTATAGTCAGCTGAGAAACTGAAAGGGCGTTGTAGAAACACAGCAAGCCTGAAAAGTAGCAGAGTTTCTATTAATCACTGTTTCTCAGACAATAATTTTTCTCCTGAAAAATCAAATTGAACAATAAAGTATTTATTGAGCACCTACTATGTGACAGGTACTCTAACGCCCATTGAAGGTTTATAGGATTTGTTTTTGTTATTGTCTTTTCTTCTTTAAAATATTTAAAGCACTGATCAGGATGCCTTAACTGTGTTTTCAAGTAATTTTATTACTATGAATGTCTTCAGGAGTTTAACACTTTGGCGGCTGTGCAGAGTTTTCTGGGTCTTTTTTGTTTTGTTTTGTTTCCATTGTTTTTCTTTTTTTGCCGAAAATTTTCTTTTCCTACTCTCTGATTTTTAGGGAGAAAAAATCTAGCCTCTGGGTCTGAGACCACTTGAAACGTCTGGGCCGGGGATTGCTAATGACCTCCCAGAGATAACCCAAATTGCTGATTTAGCAAAGCCCATTCTTGACCTTGACACAAGACAAGACAGGCAAAGGGGAAGGACTTGGGAGGGAGCAGTGAAAGAAAAAAGACCACAGAGGCGCTCAGATCTCACTAGTCCCCTCCCCCATTCAGCAAACACCTGGCTGAGTTGGAAAACATGACCAGTCCAACCTTCCATTGGCACCAATTGAAGCTGTCAGCTCTCGGCTTGTCACCAGTTGCACTGGGAGGCCCCAGGCAGCCACAAGAGCCCTAATTAGGCAGAAATGACACTTCTACAACTGACCTGCCAGGACCTTTGGCAAACCATTTAACATCATTAGTTAACATTTTTTAAAAGTGTGAATGTAAATGAACAGCCAGTGGCTTTCAATGGAGTCTGTCGGTGGCATCTCCTCCCTCCCTGCTCACTCTTTCTCTTTTTACATGAATAGTCCTCTTGTTTTCTCCAGAATTGGAGGGAGGCGCTGGGGGAAGAAGGCAAAAGAGGACCCGTCCTCTGAGAGGGGAGACATGTCAAAGCACAAACGAGCCCAGAGGAGCCGGGAGACCACCTCTTCCTGCCTTAGTATGGGCCCAAACGGAGCAGAGCAGGGGACAAGAGTGTGCCCAGCAGGCTAGACCCACGCCAGGCCCCCTCTGCGAGCCGTGGGCAGTGACCATCCCCGGCTTTGGGCCCACGGGAAACGATTTCTTTCCTGACTCCAGTGCCTCGGAAACACCCTGTCGCTCACACCTCCACCCACGTGAGGGCATCCTGAGCAAGCTGGTGCTCTGCGGCCGCTCAGCCGATGTCTTATGTGTGCTTAAGTCGCCACGTGCCCGTTTTAAAGGCGCCTGGTCCCTCTGTGAAGGAACGAAGTTCTTGGCATGACCATTTCTGCCGCTGGTCGGATACTTACACAAGTCAGTTCATTCCTACCTGAAGCCGTCACCTCCCACCTCGAGTCGCACTTCATTTTGTTCTTCGATGTGCAGCCACAGAATCCGTACACGCCAACACTCTCCATCTGGGGGGGGAAAGAGTGTCACTGTGAAAATGTCACTTTGCCTGTCTCCGCGCTGCTCCCAGCTGATGGGGCGGCCCGGGAGGGGCAGGGGCAGGAAGGTTGAGGCGGGCAGCCGGGGGCCGGTTGCTGGCAGGCCTGCCCCGCACCTCCTGCTACCCGCCTGCGGCCCTGGGCAGGGAGGCTGGCCCTGACGCTCGGAGGTTTTCATAAGAGAATCTTTACTGCTTCAAGTGGGGAAACACAGGCAGGAATAGCAACCGGAGAGCGTGTAAGGTGAGGCGCGGTGGGCCAACAAGAGCTGCCAAAATTGAGAAGCGATGAGGGTTCTCATCTATTTTGTTCTTACCTGAGGATATTTTTTCCATTGCTTCTCAGAGAGAATGGAAGAGAGAGAAAGCGAGAGAGAGAGCTCGAAACATCAATGTGAGGGAGACACATTGATTGGTTGCCTCCCCCACGCACCCCAACCGTGGCCGGGGATTGAACCCAGGACCCTTCGGACTGCAGGCCGACGCTCTAACCACTGAGCAAACCGGCCAGGGCTCATCTATCATTTATCTTGGAGAGATGAAATTGAGAATCTGTCCTCTTGCTTCCCAAGGCCCGCTTGACAAAGCCACTGCACCACAGTGCATCCCGGGTCCCTCCATGCACCCCTGCCCCCCCCCCCGAAACACACTCCTGCTTATTCGCAAAGGGGACTGTGAATTCTACAAATGAAAGTGCAGGGGTGCAAAGCAGATTCCCAGAACCCACGATTATATTAGTTATTTAGCCTCTCTGCTGGGTCCTAAACAGAGCGAGGGGAAGCATGTCTTGTCCGTCTCCGGGTTTCTAGAAGCCCCGAGAACAGCGGTGGGCGCGCAGTAGACGCACAATAAATGTTTGCCGAGCGGAAAAGCAATGTGGCTTCCAGGCCCGAGCTAGGAGCAGCCGGGATGCGAGCTTCAGGGAGGGCGCCCACTCTGGAGTGGGAGGCTTTCACCCGTCTCTGAATTAAAGACGACTAAAATCAAGGGTGGCAGAGGATGCCTGTGACGAGCCATGAGACACAAGGAAAAGAAAACAATCTCAGTTTGGGGCAGAAAGCGAGAGAAAATACTGGAAAACGTCCTTAATAACAGTAAATGGGGGGGAAGAGAGAGAGAGAGAGAGAGACCAGCTCGTCTGATGGGGCATTTAGTGCTTTTAAGCTAAATACCTCAGCATATTAAGCAAATAGAGAAAAGCCAGCTAGAAGATGTCAGCAAATTGAAGCCAACGGTGCTCAGAAAGCCGAGGGGAGGCGCCTGGCTCTGACCCCTTTTCCCATCACATGCCTGGCCGCCTGCTTGTTTAGTGTTGCGGCTCCTCTCCAGCTGCGGGGCTTATTGAAAAGCTCTTGCTCCCCGCCTGGTTTTGGCACATTTTCTGCAGGTGCCTCCTACTGCGGCCACAATGGGCTGCTCGGGAGGTTCAGACCTGTCAACAGCTCCGGGGGAGCCGGCGGGGGTGGCGGAGGGGGCGCGGGCATTGTCTTAAAGGGCCCGTGACATTGTGAGCCTCCACAGAGCCCGCAGCACAGGCACCTGCTAATGAGATGAACCCTTTCTCCCGCTCGCTCCCTTTCTCTCTTTAATGATTTAACTTGATCGCTTTGCTTCCTTTCTGGAAGGGGGAATTGCTCCATTGATCATATAAAGTAATTGCCTGTAAAACATTGCCCCCGCGAAGACGACCACGACTTCCCTGGCTGAAAATGTCACAGCAATTGAAAAGCTCTTAGCCCGGTTCGAGGAGGAGGCTGCTCCGGAGGACAGTCTTTGCGTGTGTCCTCAGGGACTGGGGCGTTCAGAGGGACAAGCCTCGGGTGTGACTGACGGATTTTTAAGACAGAGAATTTCCCTTCCTCTAGCGTAGGATGATTTTGCGTGAGGCTGTGGGGAACTGACCAAACTAAGCTCGAAATTCCCTCAACCCTAAAGTTAGATAGCTTGGGGGGGAAACATTATTTTCTTAGTCGCCCATGCCCATGCCCACGCCCATGCCCATGCCCACGCCCATGCCCATGCCGTCCTTTCCTGGGGAGCCATGGCTCCGGAGGGACGCCCACGTGGGCCATGAGTGATTCGGGAAAGCGTCTTCCTCCTCATCACTCAGGAAGACAGCATCTTTGTCTAGGAGGCGGCCGGGGCCTTGGTCTGGGAAAGGAACGATGCTCTGGCTGGGTAAGATTTGCTGATTTTTCAGACCTGTCACTTGGCGGCAGCAGCGACGCGCGGTAGGGACCGGGACGACACACTTAAGTAGTTTTCATGAATACTTTTATTAGTCATTGCCACGCCAGTGTGAGGGTGTAATTCACCCAGGGAAAAATCACTTTGTTGTAGGCAGGAACCTGCCAGCGAAATAAACAGCCGTTAGGGGTGGTTTCATCTCCCTCTGGCAGGTGAAAGCCGAAGTGCGTGGCTGAATAAGAGAGAGGCGCTTTTTTTTCATTTAATTGGTGGGAAGCACCACTTGCGCAGTGAGATGCTGCCAGTTACTAACGTTACTAATTTGGGAACAAAGCTTCAGGTGAGTCACCTTCCTCCAGAGCGAGCCATGAATATTTCTTGCAGCCGAAGCAGCAGACTTGTTACTGTACTTTTTCAAAAAGGCAAAAACACCTGCCTGCTTCCTTGACAAACAAGGGAGTGTAGAGCCTTCAGTTATAAAAGGCTGTTGAAGGTTGTTTACATGAAGAAAGCTGGAGAACTTTCTACATGTAAACCTTCTAAAAGGCCATGGTATAGGTTTCATAACTTGTCAGTAGATGCAGCTCTTTTTTTCCCTTGGAATTTAGGAATTTTGGATTTTAGATTTTTAAATCTTGTAATATTGTCAGAATACGTGGATATTCCATTAAGGTGATTACATATATTACACCAAAATGTGCTGTATGTAATAAAAGGTATTTTTCCTTTACCTACCCAGATAGTGAAGATAATTTTTAAATTCCTTACACCTAATCCCATTAAATAAATTGATTCCTGAATATGAAGAATCACATTGGCAGCTTTTCACAAACAACTGGAGTTTGTGGGGTTGTTTTGTTGTGTGTGTCTTTTAAGGGAAGGGGAGGTGAAGTGTGGGCCTCTATGGCTTTTATAGGAAGGTCTTTTTTATTGGTCTGTAAAATGAGGGTGTAGAATTAAATGACCCCAAAAGTTCTGCCTGGCTGTATGATTTCCTTATCTATAGAAATGATTGCTATAATGGCACATGGGTGAGCGGTAAATATGACCAGTTATTTCTAGCAGCTTTGCCTGTTAGATAGGCAGTCAAGACAGAGTAAAAGTGGCTTGAGCTAAGCCCCTGCAGCCAAGACAGGAGAACCTGGACTCCCGAGGCCAGAATCCCAACCCCCTTGCAAAGAACCTCGGGGAAGCAGCAGTGCACAGGGAAGGTGGCTGTCGGTGGGCTGCAGCGGGGGCCGTGGGAGGGTGGCTGGCCAGCCGCTGGTGCCCTGGCCGCTTGTCCTCTGCATGAACTCCCAGAGTGCGAGTGAGAGTGGATGGTGTTAACACATCTGGAGGGGGAGAAAAGAACGTCTGAAGAGGGAAAATCAAGCCAAACAAGCACATGGTCGGTGGGATGAATGTCAGTCTGACAGTAGCCACAGGACTGGTTTCGCTTTTGCAGTCTCCTCTGTGCTTTACTTGCACACGATGCAGGAGGTCTGTCCGAAAGGAGCCCCCAAGTTCAGAGGCAACAGACTGGAGCGTCCCAGTCTCACTCCTCTCGGGTCCGTGCCGCACGTTTTAAACCACCTGACCTCACGAGGGAGAAATTCACCTTGAATTAACGTTTGTTTGAACTTCATACTAAGTGGGGTTTGTCGAGATGCTGGGCGTGTGTTTCAAAGAATGTGTTTTGAAATGCTGCATCTTTCCTACGTCCACACACCGAACTGATGGCATGTGCGCCGAGCAGTGAGAATCACACCCTGGGCTACAGTGTGGTGGCCGGAGGGGAGGAGCCGACACTCCTCATAACCGGGTCTGCGCATTTACTTACGGAGTGAGGGCCACAGACTTTCCAGCCTGAGCCCTCTATTGGCTTGGCGCTTACACGTGTTACCAACATGTATCTCAGCCACTAAAAGTTGACACACAGAGATGCTAAGATTCTTTATGCTTAACTAATAAGTTAACGTCAGGCTGGTGGATAGCTGTACCTGTTGACAAGTCTGTATTCCACATATAAGGTGTCCTTACTTTCCAGCTAGAAAATGATGTGAAATGAACTTTGTTTTATAGCTCCTGGATTAATAAAGAACAACCGGCTAAGGGAAGAAAAGATCTATTTCATGCCTCGGTAGAATGCACGGGATTCTTCTAAATGAACATTTCAGCCGCAGTCCATACGACTAAGTCAGACGCGGCGGGAGCTATACACAGACCTCAGCCCCCTTCCCCATGAAGAGCCTGGTTCTATTTCTCGCTTCTTGCAATCTTCTTAGAATTACGTGCTGCAAAGTTTCCTTTCTTTCAAAAGTCAGAAAGCACTATAGTCAAATGAGTATTCTCATAATCTGTTTTCCTCCAGTTTGTTAGATACAAGATCACATCTCCTTTCCTCCAATCATATCCTTCCAGAGTTATAGCTTATTTTAAAATTTCCAACAGAAAGAGATGCACTTTAGTAACAGTGCACATTTGACTGATCCAAAGGACTGGTTTTAGATGCCCACCATAAAAAAACTAAAACTTTACCTACACATTTTGTCAAAAGTAGATGAGATGGGGGGCATCAGGTGTATAGTCCTAAAGCCTGAATTTGGGGAGCAAGGTGAGTCTCTCGTAAGCACAGTAACCACACGGGCTGATACCAATGTGACAGCCAAGCCTTCACCCGGATGGTACAGGCATGTGTGTGACGTTCTCTGGCTGTTCTCATATAACAAATAATACTTGGAGATAAAGCCGGTTGCAAATATAAATTCAGAGAGGTCTTATAATTCTGAATTCTTCATTTTG